GGTTGCTCGCTGCCAGTTGCAAAGAGAGCTATTTGTTTAGATGATAATGTGAATGACTGCCCCTGGATGTGTTTTCACAGCCATGTGGGGGTAAGGGAGACCTTATTCATCCCGCCAAGCATGGTGGGGGGTTCAAGGTTAACACAGGGTAAACAGAAGATGATGGTGGTGACAGGAAGTTGTGCCTGGCTATGCCTGATGGGGACTATGGTCCCCTCTCTGAGGACTCTTATTTCTTCTTTGCCTAGCTCTTCTTGCCTGCTGGGTCCTGTTCTCAGACCTGTGCTCTTTCCTCTCTGTCCTGGCCCTTCTCCTCGCTAGCTCTTTGGTTGGGAGCCTGATCTTCTGTGGAAAGGTGTCTCTCCTCCTCCTTCCTGCTGAGGTGGGCCAGGAGCTCCAGACCCTCCCCAGAGGCCTGTGTCCTCCACAGACTCCAAGATTTGGCTGCTGGATCCCAGGGTCCCTGTGTCCCCTTGTGAGCCTGAGCTGGGCCCATCCAGGTATGTGGCACAGGGGTTGGGGGGCAGGCCCGTACTGCCCCAAGCCTCCTCTAGCACCCCTTCCTTCCACACAGTCCAGCAGGCTGCCGGGGCCTCTCCAGCCCCCGCCTTCCACTCATCACCCCCACTCACCCACCTGCACACTGCTGGAAGCTCCTTCCTGTCCCAGAGGCTGCTGGGGCAGGTGTGGGGGAAATGATGTCAGATGGGCAACAGGGGACAGCTGGGGCCAGGACATTGCTCTCTGCTCAGATCCCCCTGACCTTCCTCTGAGTAGATTCTCACCTAGGGCCCTCTCCCAGAGGCCCAGGGCCTGATTCTCCTCATTCCTGTCCAGGGAAAGTGTGGAAGATTTCACAGGCCCAAGGTCCCAGGAGACAGGCTGCTCCAGGAAGCAGCTCAGCATACACAGAACCTCCGTAACTCCCCCAAGAACTTCAGGAGAGAGGAACCCATCAGAGACCCCATTTTCCACATGAGGCCAGAGGCACACGCTTGTTGTTCGTCCGTCCTTGCGAGCTGGGCTGCTCTGATCTGACCCTGCCTGGATCAGGGATGTGGAGGGAGGAGCTGAGTGATGAGCGAGCGCTTTTCCCTTTCCTGTTTGTTCCACTCTGGTCCATTCTTCTACTTCCTTCCCCAGGATGGGCTGGAGCTCCCCCAGGGCCCCGCAGCAGCGCTGGACTTAGGTTGTGTGCAGTAATCAGCTAGCAGTCGTGTGCAGATAAGCATCTCCATGTGTGTTTGTGTGTGTGTGGTGTGGGGGGGAGGGGGGTTGTGAATGTGCCCAGGTGTGCAGGGCCATGGGCTCCAAAGAGCCTAGGACTGGTCTATTCCATTCAGCGTGCGTGAGCTGTTTGGATGATCCAAACAGACCCCAGGATCAAGATCCTAGAGGACATTGGACATTGGCCCTGAGAGTGTGACAAAGACAGGGCCACATAAGGAAAATGAAATAGATCCTTTTTTTTTCCCTAAAGCATGTTCTGAGTTGATTTTTATTTTTTTGTTTTTCTCCTCTAGGCTGGATGTTAATTAGAGTAGAATGGGCTAGTAATTAAATTATTTGATATAAAGAAAAGAAAGGAGCTGGTGGCGGCCCTAGCTGGGCTACCCAAGCTGGAGCCCTAGGTGAATGGCTCCTTGGAAGGCCCCCAGGGCTAGGAACAGGCTGGGTGTCACACTTGGGGTGCTGAGAGTACCCCAAAGGAAAGGCTGTCATGGGGTCAGCCATGCCCACCATGGCTACCCACAGCCCAGTTTAAGGGAAGATAGCTGGGGTCCTTCCTAGCTGAAAGTGGACTGAGCTCTGGGCAGGGGAGGTGGGCTTTAGGGTCTCTGACACGTGGAGGGGTAAAGCGAAGGGCAAACACATGCAGGCACATCAGGCTGATATCCCCAGTTCCCCCACTCCCCTCCCCCCCACCACATACACCAAGCCAGGGAGTAAAACAAAGTTCTCTACCACTAGCTGACGAAATTCCCCGCTCACCCTTCAGAGGTCTGTGCCATTCTCCAATCCACACACAAGGATCCTGCCCAACTCAGTTCTTCTGCTCCCATTGGTCAGTGTCTATGTCCATCAGCCTCCCCCGTGGCACTGCCATTGACTCCCCAAGCAGCCCTGAGAGCCAGCTCTGCCTAGCCCAGGGAGAGGCATAGGCACCAAAGGGCAGCCTCGTACCCCCTGCCCGCTAAGGCCCACAAGCCCGTTCTCTGCCCAGTGTGTCCCTTGGTCTAGACTATGGCAGGAATGAGGGCAGCCTGCAAGCCACCATGTCTGGCCCTGAAGGCCTAGCATTGGCTCAGAGGGCCCATCAGCCCCTGGCTTGCCTTGGGAGAGAGGATCCTGGGGCCACAGGCTAGGGACAGGCAACAGAACACTTTAATGATTCAAGAAAGAGGGCTAGGTGCTTCCAGCCAGAACTTTCCAGGCCCAGAGGGGACAGGAAGTTGAAACTGAGATGTTATGAGAGATTTCATTAAAGAATGTCACAGGGCCCCTCTCTCTCACACACACACACCTGGGAAAGCCGTGTAAGTCTGAGGTTCAAATTCTGAGGATGTCCTAATAGAGATCTCCCCTGTCCTCCCCTCCCCACCCCCTGCAATCTATCCCAAAGGCAGAAAAGCTCCGTGCACCCAGTCCCCTCTTCCTACCTCCAGAGTCCTCCTGTCCCCGCCCACCCCCATCCCACTCCTGGGTCCTATCTCCCTCATCGCCTCTCCTGTAAAGCCCCAACCTGCAACCGATCTCCATGGTTACACTCTGGGCTGGAGGCCCAAAGCCAACACCTTCCTGCCCTTCAGTTGGGATGACCAGGTGAACCTGGTCACCCCTGCTGAACAATCTGCACAGTGCACATCCCAAACAAGAGCCCCACACAGCCCTGTTCATACTGCTCAGTGCTCAGCAGAGGCGTGCTCAGAAGAGGCTCAGGGGGTCTGGCAGGGCCCTTGAGGCCACACAGCACCCCCAGTCTTCACTAAATTTAGTCTGTCCCATTTGTCACCCAAGCCCTCCTCAGAGTCAGGCCACCAGGAGCCTCCCTGTGGCCTAGGGACTTGGAATCTGCTGTTGGGACCAGGGATGTCTGAGCTGGACCAGGCCACACAGTTCCACGTTCAGAAGACGCCCTGGCTTCTAGCTGTGGGTACAGGGCCAAGCCTGCAGGGAGGAAGCAAGCTTTGCCTCTTGGCTTAGCCGGAGCCCTCACGCTGCTCATTCAGCTCCCTCCCTGCCACAAAGCATCCTGGGGCGGGGCCAGCAGCGTGCCCTGTGCTGCAGAGCGGACAGTAAGCCTGGGACAGCGTACTCCAGCTCTCTCTAGCACTGCATGTGGCTGGCCCCATGATTTCCTGCTTGGTCCCCTGGCTTTGCAGTTCCTCCATGGTTAACAGTTTGGCTTCGGAGCTCTCTAATAACCAGCACACGACCAAGCACAGTAGCTCCTTTGTGTGTGTGTGTGTGTGTGTGTGTGTGTGTGTGTGTGTTTTGGTCCAATGACTTCTGTTGTTCTCAACATGAAGGCTATCATGGTTTGCATGAGTGTGCAAGTGTGTATCAGAGTGTCTGAGTGAGTCCAGCTAGCCGCACTTCTCAGTGCTAAGAAGAGTATCCTTTAGGAAAGGAGAGCTATACAACTATATAACTGATAAAAAAAAAAAACAATTGTTTTTGTTTTGTTTTTGCTTTGGCTACCAGGAAGCTCAGAGGCAAAAATTGTTTGACAAAACAATGACAGCTCTAGGATGCGGACGGCTTTCATCTCACATTCCCGTAAACTGATGGATGGTGCTGAGCTGAGAAGAAGTGAAGCCACAAGAAGTGATGTTGGCCATTAAGTAGGGCCAGGTGCATGTGGGCTAAGAAAATGGGACCAGCGATCAATTAGTGATGTCTGCTGGGAGCACAGCCATGGAGAATGCGCTCAGCACACTGCAAGCATTTGCCATCCTTAGGTGAGTTGCCTTGTGGAGAACTCAGCTGTGTTGGCTTCTTCCAAGCTTATATTTTAATGTAGGCACTCGCTTTGCAGAGCAAGGTAAGTTATGGATAAAATATGCTGATGGGGCTCTGCCAGGAGCCCTCAGCCCAGGGCGAGCAGCTGGAAGGCGGAGCCGCCCAGGTCTCCTTCAGGGCTGAGTGGTACAGCAGGCCCGATTTCAGCCACAGAAAGTTCCCTGAGGAACATCCGTTTCAGGGCACTCCCCTGAAGTAAAAGGGTGCCACCCCTCCTAGTCCATGACTAGACCCACAGCCCATATCTCTTTGGGGCCACAGTCTGTGGCTACATCTTACCAGGGCCTGGGGATCTAAAGCAATGTGACCCAGGAAGCACTTCAGAAGACTGCAAGGGGGACTCCTTGTTTCCTTCCCAGCCCGGCTGTGCCAAGGTCCCTGAGCCCTGCCTGCACCCTGGGCTTTGCACTGTCACCCAGACTCTGGGCTAAGGTGCCTGTAATCAGGGAGTCTCCAGGCCCCGCAGGGATCCTTGGCTGAGGTGGCAGCTCCCCCTAGTGGCCACTGTGGAAACACCTCCGTCTGCAGGGGCCCGGCCCCCTTTCCTCTTCTAGGTCAGCAGAGAGGAGCCCATGGGGTGACATTTGTCCACTTAGCTGTGCCCCACCCCACCTTCCACCCCTCCTATGCACTAGGGAGAACCTCTCTGTTGCATGTCTAAAGCCTGGGCCCATGAATGCCCCCGGCTTCAGTCGGAGGCCCAGGCTGGGCAGGACGTGGCCCAGCCGTGGAAGCCCTGAGTTCTGCACAGTGGATGAGGCTGATCTGTAGACCATCTGCACCTGTCAACACACAACATGGCTCCAGGCACTGCGGAGCCCCTGGTCCTTCAGGCCGGACACGGGCTGCCCTGGGGGCAGGGGTGGGGGTAGCAGCAAAGCCCCTCCACTTTTTACAGCAGCTGCAGCCTCTCTGCTCACACCCTCCCCGGACACCTTGGCCCCTCATCCCCGTGGAAGCACCCCTCCACCTCGGGCTGATTGTGACAAACTTTTTTAATAGCCTTCCAATGGTGAGGGTGTGTACAGAGCACAGGCCCTCTCTGGCCACGATACCACACAGCCTCACCCGCCCGCAGCCTGAGAGATAGGGGACAGCTGCCATGAATGGCCAGTCCATTTTCTTCTCTCTGGCCCCTGAACAGTTCGGAATCCTGGAGAACGCAGGGCCACTTCTGTGCTGTGCCTTGGGGGACCGGTGGCCCTGCACCCAGGTAGCGCTTGCTAGTTCCTTCCCACAGTGTGGCCCCAGCTGAGCCTGGAGGGGCTGTGTCAGGCCCCCGGGAAGGGACGAAGTCCACCCTCTCCGCTACCTTCCATAAAAATGTTTAAAGACAAAAGGTAGAAGCATTATGATAGGAATAAGTTGACCCACCCAGTGGGCAGTCCCCCCCCTCCCAACCCCAACAGTCCTGGGGCTTATTCGAGCCTCTCCCCGCCATTTTCAATCCATCTGCCTCTGTACCCTTCTCCATGGCATCCTGGGCAGGAGCAGCCCAGCCCAGCTGCCTGGGCAGGGACAGAGACACCACAGGGAGCCGGTCTAGTTGCTCAGAGAGCCTTAGCAGGCAGACAGCACAGGGGCCACAGAACCACCAGGGCTCGTGGTTGGTGGCAGGGAGAAGGGTCCAGGCCTCAGAAAGTCCCCGCCCATCCAGCCAGCCCAGGATAGGCAAGAAGCCTTGGCAGTGAGGTGGGAGATGGGCCTGGAAGAGGGAGGGGGTGTGGGGACCCCTCTGGGAGGTCGGGGTAGGAGGTGGGGAGGTGGGAGAGCAGCCTTAGTACTTGGGGACCTTGCTGTAGTCTTCCGAGTGGATGCGTCGGCACAAGCAGATGGACAGGAACATTCCGAAGAGCTGGGAGGGAAGAGGCTGAGGGTCAGGGGATGCTGGCCCACCTGGCCCCCTGCCTGCCCCCCACCATCTACACCAACACCCAGGTCTGCATTCAGAGAACAGATCCTCCGCTGTGCCATGAGCACCCTCCTGTCGGCAACAGAGCAGCCCAGAGAGGGACATGGCCTGACTGAGGACACAGAGGCACGTGGGACTCTGAGAGCCAAGCCTTCCCCGCCCTCCTCCTCCCCCCGCCAGCCTTGGGCTCCCCAGGACCGAGTGCAGGAAGGGCTGGGGGGAGGGGAGAGCAGTACAGACCTCAATGACCGCAACACCCACGCACACGCCCAGGATGATGCCCAGGTTCTCCTGCAGCCACGCCTGCACCTTCTCCATGCAGCCCTGCAAGGGAGCACGGGGCTGCATCACCCACACTGTGTGGGGACACCTGGGGCCCTCCCCTGGGGGCTCCGCTCCCGCAGCCAGCGCGGGCCGGCCGTGCACGTACCTCCTGGAACACAGGCCAAAACTCGGGGTCGTTGCCGCTCTGGGTGCTGTTGTTCTGGGAATGGCAGAAGCCCTTCCTCACCAAGAGGCTACTGTCCCCCTTCTCGCAGGAGCAGGGGTAGGTGACCTCCGAGTGGCTCATGAGCTCCTCATTCTCTGTCCAGTTGTAGGCGCTGACCCAGCCACAGCATTTCACCTGGTGGAGAGGGGGGCAGGCTGATGGGCCACTGTCCGTGGTACCTCAGTGGGCCACGCGCCCAAGCCAGAGGCCTGGATCTGCCCACCCAGCCCTGCCACTTCCAGCCAAACCACCAGCATTAGACTTTGGGCTTCATTTCAGCTCTGTGAGCCAAAAGGGACTTAAAGCAGCTTTGGGGGAAATACCATAAACCACAAAAAGTAAAAGTAAGCTGGGTGCTGCTGGCTCACGCCTCTAATCCTAGCTGCTCAGGAGGGTGAGATCCGAGGATCCTGGTTCAAAGCCAGCCAGGGCAGTAAAGCCTGTGAGACTATCATCTCCAGTTAATGACCAGAAAACTGGAAGTGGACTATGGCTCAAAGTGATAGAGTGCTAGCCTTGAACAAAAGAGCTCAGACAGGCCCAGGACGATTCAAACCCCATTATTGACCAGAAAAAAAAAGTGAAAGTAAAAATCAGGGCACAGCTGGGCGCTGGTAGCTCATGTCTGCAATCCTAGCTACTCAGGAGGCTGAGATCTGAGGATCATGGTTCAAAGCCAAGCCAGAACAGGAAAGCCCATGAGACTCTATCTCCAATAAACCACTAGAAAACCAGGAGTGGCGCTATGGCTCAAGTGGTAGAGCACTCGCCTTGAGTTGAAGAGCCCAGGGACAGCGCCCAAGCCCAGAGTTCACAATGAAAGACAAGAGGGAAGTTCAAGTTATAACGACTACATAGGTGCACAGGACATGAGGCAAATGGCTGAGTGTGTACTTTGGTGGATTTAAACCTCAGACCTGCCACCATAGCCGAGGTCCTAGCCTTGGTTTCCTTATCTGCAAAAAATCAGTGACAACCACAGTTCCTATCGTGGGGTGAGGGGTGGGGGTCTTAGGAGGGCCAAATGCAGCCTGCACAGGCCTGGGAAGCCCTGTAAGAGCTCAGTCCAGATCATGTGCTGAGCATGTGTAGGCAGGGTTGAGATTGGGCTCTGAGCTTCCTGGTTGGCAAAGTGAAAAGGGAGATGTGGTTAGCTGTGCTTGTTGTACAGGGGAAAATGCTCTCGTCTGGAGGGAACGGTGCCTTTCTGGGCTTTGTGCTAACAGCTGCTCTCTTGGCCCAGAGGAGGGGACTAAATGAGACAGCTTGGGTGAGCTACTGGGGTCAGTCCCCAGTTGCTGCCTGGTCAAGGAGGATGTGAATCCCTGACTAAGCCAGCAGGGGGCGAAAAAGGCACATGCAGGAACGCTGAGCTCTAGGCAGGAGCCCCTTTCCTCCCCCCCCCCCCCCCCCCCCACCTCCCTTGGGATGCTTCCTTTGGCAGCAGGGCTTGGCTGGCGCCTCTGGGGGTGTGGGGACACAGAGGCCTGAGGATTTGGGGCACAGAAGACTCCAGGCAGCCCTCCACGGTCTGCCTTTCCCAGGGACCCCAAGTGGCCGCTGTAGCAGTGGCTGGGATGCCAGGGAGGGGGCTGTGAGGAGATGCCTTCCCAGCAGGAACACACTCTTCACACTTACTCCTGCATCCCCGGCTCTGCCAGCCCCACCGTGCCCGGGCTCACCTGCGCCTGCACGTAGTCCCAGGCATCCTGCAGGCTGTTGGTGCTGTTGGCATCGTACTTCCGGATGAGGTCTGCCACCACGTTGCCCATCTCCTGCTTCAGCTGCAGAGTGGAGCAGGAGGGTCAGGGTGGGAGGTGGGCGAACCCAGACACTCCAGCCTCCCCTCGGCCTCCCTCCGTGGGGCTGCCAAGAGGGACGGGAAGACCATGGCCACCCCCTGGGCTGCAGGATCCTGGGCTGGCCCCCTGGGCTCCCGAGTTGCTGGACGTGGGGACACCAGACATGGGTGCTAGGCAGCGCTTCTGAGGCAGGGAAGCAGCAAGGAGAGTTGAGCAACATACCTCCTCTCCCCTCGCTTGGCCCCCCGAAGCCTGGCTCCCCAACACTCCCCAGTGTCACCCCGGAAAACCAGCGCTGGGGACAGCTCTCCTCTCAGCATCTCCCCTCTCCGGAAAGCTCCCAGTGTATTTATTTATTTAAGGATAAAAGAAGCCAGGTGCTGGTGGCTCCTGCCTGTAATCCTAGCTACTCAGGAGGCTGAGATTTGAGGATCGCAGTTCCAAGTCAGCCTAGGCAGGAAGTTGGTGAGACGCTTTATCTCCAATGAACCACCTAAAAACCAGAAGTAGTGTTGTGGCTCAAAGTGGTAGAGCATTAGCCTTGAGCAAAATGAGCTCAGGGACAGCGCCTGGGCCCTAAGTTCAAACCCTATGATTAACATTAACACACACACACACACACACACACACACACACACACACACACACACACACACACACACACACACACACACACACACACACACACACACACACACACACACACACACACACACACACGCTGAGGGCCGACATCAGGGCCTCACGCATGCTAGGCGAGCCTCTAGCTTTATCTCCAGCCCTTCTCTTGGTACTTTACATTTGGTCTCAACTCCTGGGCAAACTAGATCCTTCTGCCTCTACCTCTCACGTAGTTAGGATTACAAGTATGACCTACAATGCCTGGCTGAGTTCCACAACTTATACAGCTTTCTTGTCAGTAATCACAACCCCTATAGATGCATTTATCGAATGTGAGTTGTGTATCGGGACGGTGGCACACATTCTCTAAATTGTGTCTCACAGCGGGCCAGTCACCTAGGAATTGACCCATTCCCTCATTACAGAGATGCAGAAGACAAGGCTGGACAGGCTAATTAAGTCAGCCAGAGTCACACACAGCCAACACGAGGAAGAGCAGAGGTCTGGATGAAAGCGTGTCTTAGATCAGGACCCCCTTGTTCACCCAGGAAGCTCTGTCAGCATCCACATCACAAGGCTCCCAGATGCATCTGGGCAGAGTCGCCTTTCGGCACCTTCTCCACCCACTGGCTGGGCACCAGCAGCCCTCAGGTTCTGTTTATACCCTGTGTGGTTGCCATGGCAGCCGGACTCCCCAGTCTCCCTCCAGGGTCCCCCTCCCCCCACCCCAGACAGGAGAAGGTGAGGAGGCCGGTGGTTTCCACAGGGGTGGGTAGTTTCCGTGGGAACACCACAGCATCTTGCGGTTTAGAATGGGGCTGAGACACAGCAGGCCGGGCTGTGGGGACCAGGCCACACAGCTGGCCCAGCGTGAGCCTCTGCCTGGGATACCAAGTGCCCAGGGAGGTCACCTGGAGAGGTCACCAGAGAGCCGAGGAGGGAGGGGCAGGGAGGGACCTGTCACATGCCCTTCCCTCGTCTCCCCCCCCCCCACTTTTGGGGCAGCCAGTCACCCCTCTGTGGCTAAGCAGGTATAAGACCTGCTTCATGGCTACGTGGTGCCACATGCTTACCCTGGGAATGGCCGGTGACACAGACTCCTTCCGCTAGGATTGTTTACAAGGGTCTGAGCTCACTTTGGGCTCCACTGGGACCCAAGAAGGGGACCAAGAGAGGGGAGAAGGGCCCCCGGGGGCGGGGGGAAGGGCTGGGGAAACCCAGATCTGGCTGAGGCTCTAGCAAAGCCACTCTAGCATCTCAGCCTCTTCTTCCCAGTCCCTAGCTCACTGAACCACCCAGGATGGGTGCAGAAGGCTCCTTCCCCACAGCGACATGGGAACCCAGGATTTTCCTCTGGGGTCACTTGGCTTGCCCCTTCCAGCAAGGCTACAAATGTAATGCCACCATCCATGCTTTCCCAGGACATCAAATCACCCTTAGTGTGGGACTCCCCTGTGGGAACCCCATCTCGACTTCTAGCAGGGGAAACTGAGGCTCTGAGGCCTGGAATACATTCCCAAAGGAGGCGATAGGAGGCAGGGGCCTCTTTGGAGGCCATTCCTGGTCTATCATCCCTCTGCGCTGCCCCTGCCACATGGTGGTCACCAGGGATCCCCGGCCATCCCACAGGCCCATGGGAGAGGGGCCCAGTGACTAAGAGGACGGGCTCCAAAACCACGAGCTATGATACATCCTTCCTCCTTTCCAATGGTGCCCTCAGGTAGTGTGGTCACAGGCTAACATCCGGCCATAACCAGGTCTGTGCAGCCCCCGGGGCCTGAGTCCCCTTCCCCATAACTACCTGCTGTCTCCACCTGACCCTGGGTTGCCCCTGGCCTTTGCTGTTTTACCACACAGGGGTCACCGGAATCTTGAGTCAGACCTGGAAGATTCGTGGTGCAAGCGTGAAAACTTTCCAGGCACTTCAGGCTGCTTAAATGCCCCTGGCCACAGGAAACGCAGTGCCTTGCACAAGCGTGCAGGGCGGGGCTGGGGGCTTGGCTACGAGTTGTGACTTCCCAAGTGACCTCGGCCAATACCCCCAGCTGTGACCGCACAGTAAAAACCAGGTCTCCCTTCCCTAGGATCCCCCGATGGGGCCCGGCCAGACCTCTCCCTGGCCCCTCTAGTGCTCTAGTATTGGGGTGCCCTATTCAGTGGATGATCCACAGCAGCCTGCCCTTTCCAGGGTTCCCGGGCAGCTGCCTCTAGCCACTCCGCTGGCTGGGGGCAGTTGCCAGTGAGCTTTTGTAGGCAGTCCTCCAGGTAGTCTACACAGTTGGCTCCCCCAGTATCTTGGGAGCTGCAGCTGTGTCATGTCACGTCATCAGGTGAGTCACGTCCTGAGCTGTCCCAGCCACTGTCACCCTCTCCCTGGGTGGAGGGTGGGGAGCAGGCCTGAGTAGTCACTCCTTGCAGAGACAGGCCCCAGGCACCCGCGAGAAGCCCCCTCCCCTAGGAACCTCTGACATGGAGCAGCCTGGATGCCTCCTCCCTTGCCACAGGGGAAGAGAAAGGTCATCTGTCTGACCGGCGCGGGCTGGTAAGCCAGGGTGTTCTCATCGCAGTGGTCTCCCAGGTGGAACCGGTCCTACTGCTGGAGCCATGCATGGCGTGCACACCCGTGAGTGTGGGCTTTGGGGGTGGGGGAGCCCTGGTTCTCCTGACCAACCCTTCAGCCGCCAGCCCCACCCTGGTGGTCACAGGAGCCTCTCCTCCTCCAGGCTACCCACCCCAGGCCCTCTGCTGGTACCCCTTGACCCCATCTGCTGGGGTGGTTGGCAGAGTTAGCATATGGCCACCATGCTACCCAGCCCAGCACCCGGCATATCATCAGAAATGGCACATGCTCCCTGCTGCCCCAGGGGGTAAGTTAGAACCCCAGGCTCACAGCTGGCCTAGGGCCATACACAGCTCAGAAGGCAGGGCCACTTCTAGGAAGTTATACAGCACCATTGTCAGAGTTGGTCCACAAGTCAGGGTACCTGAATCTCAGACCTAGGCTCTGCCTACCTGGGAGTGGGGAGATAACACAGAGAGGAGACAGGGATGGCTTCTGACCCAGGATGGGGAAGTCTGTCTTTCCTGAGAAAAAGACCAGCACTAGCTGGCGTTTTCCTTTCCCACCTTTTCTGGCCACAGCAGTGTAGCTGCTGTGCCTGAGCCGGTGGCCACCATCTTGTGACCATGGGGTGACTGGCATGCTGCAGAAAATCCACCACAGAGAGGGTGCTGAGTGTCAGGCCAGAGTCAAGGTCTCTGGGCTCCCAAATCAGAGTTGTAGATAAGTTAACAACAAATGTCTTAAGGGTTTAGGGCATGGGAAGCCTGGTTTTCTATTCCTGAAATTTAAATGCTTTCCTCACAAAGGACCATGTTTTTATTAGCAGTGTCATTCCTGGGCCTCATCTGTGGCTGAGTAGCTCCAAGATGCCTTCATCACAACATGACAAGAACTTACGAAGTACCCACTGTGCTCAGTGTTTTTCCTAAGATTCCCCGCCCAATCCAACCCTGAGTTAACTTTTATAACTGTCCTCAGTTTACTGATGGTGCAGCAGGCAGCGAGGGAAGCGTGAGAGCCCTGCCCAGCAGTTCCAACTGTAGGCACTGCCTTCCCCCCTCAGGGAGGCCGGGGGCCTGTCGCTGTCACCTGCCATGTCGTGACAGCTGAGCAGCAGCTTGTCGGTCCCCCAAGCCTAGAGCCAGTGCCCAGCGATGGGCCCACCCGAGGGCCCACTGACTCACCTTGCCCGAGTTGAAGTAGAAGAGGGTCCCCACGGTCACCTGGGCTATGAGGATCAGCAGGAGGAAGGCGAAATACTGCAGAGAGAGGGGGCAGGGTCAGCCAGGCTGCCCTCTGGCAGGTGTGTGTGTGCGTGTGCGTGTGCGTATGTGTGTGTGACAAGCTGGGCACCCCAGGGTGGGCGGGGGGATGGGGACTCACCAGGCCCAGCAGGCAGCGGACCTCGTTGACAGCACCGATACAGCCCAGGAAGCCCATGACCATGGTGAGGGCTCCCACGCCCAGGAAGATGTAGGCCCCCACTTGCATGGTGCTGGAGGAGTTTTCTAGAAGGCAGGAGAAGGGGACATCAGGGTTAACAAGTATCAGGGGTCACAGACCCCCAGGGGTGAGGAGACCCAACCCACAGCCAGGGTCTGCTCCCCTCAGAGCAGTGGGGGGCTCACGCCCCTGCGAGTCACCCACATGGAGGTGTGTGCGCAGTGACAGCCCACCCCCCTCCAGGCAAGGCCGGCTCTGCTGTGGCTTTCCTCCCCAGTGCTCGCCACAAGCCTGGACTCTATCTTCTTCATCACTGGCCCTCAGCCCCTAAAATACGAACCTCAGGAGGCGGGGGGGGCCTCAGCTCGTCCTTGCTGATGGCAGAGCTAGCCCAGGGAGGTGCATACAGCGGGCAGGCTGGCTCTGTGCTGGCAATGGGCCACTGACACTGATTCCAGGCTGCTTCTCACCCATTGGCCTTCTGATTCTTTCCTGGCCATTCACTGGGCCTCCAGGACTCTGAACCTGCAGCCCTCCGTTCTGACATGGCCCTGCCTAGCAGCCACCAATGGTACTACTCCACAGAATGGAAACTGAGGCTCTGAGGCTGGGGTCAGAACTGAGATCTGGAAACCGCCCTCTGATGCCAGGCTCTCAGCCCTGCTGCCTGGCCCCATGCTGATGCAGGCCCTGATGCCTGGTCATCCGGTACCTGGTCACCCACTGAGCCATCCACCATGTCCTGGGTGCCCACCCTGTGCGGGGCCTGGGCCCTGTGCTGGGAATGCAGAAGAGCGGGGTGGGGGGAAAGGAAGGGGAGGTAAGTGGACAGCAATCTTTCTCGTGAAGGGTCATGAGGACCATGGGGCATGGTACAGGTGGGTGGTACAGGAAGGGAGGGGTATTCTAAACTGAGGGCATTTTCAGAAGCCAGGGGGAGGATGGAGCTTTGCTTTAGTATATTTGGGGAAGGGGAGAAGGGGAGCTCTGCCAGCCCTGACCTTGGTTGGACTGCTGGGGTTGTAGCCTGGCCTCTGCTTGCGGCCATCTCCCTGACTCCGCCTCCTGGGTGCTTTCAGATCTGTGTCAGAACCTGGGTGCCTGGGAACCACCTGGGGGTGTTTTAAGGAGCACTTGCCTGCGCAGGCCCCACCCAGGCCAATGGGCTGGGTTCCAGGAGAAGGGGGAGGGACATGGCATGTGTAAAAACCACCCTGGGAGTCCAGTAGCCTTTCAGGTCAGGCCAAGCCTGGGGGCAGGGTGCAGCAGGCATTCTGTGGGTGGGCCTTCAGACTTTGCCCAGTGCGCAGTGCCTGATGGGTGTGGTGAGCCCTGGTCAGGAGGGTGTGTCCCCAGTTGGGAGAGCATCTAGAAGGAAAGTAGTCCCTAACCCAGAAGGCAAGGCTGTATGGGGGAGGGGGCAGGGGAGAGGAGATCAGCCTCCCTTGTGGCCTAGAGCAGCAGGTGTGACCCCCTCCCTCCCCCCAATTCTGCATCCTGGCGAAGTTCATTGTATTTCAATTTGCAGCTGTCATGGGCCAGGGTCCAGCAGCTGCTGGGTGGGAAGTAAGCCACGACCAGGAGAGGCCAGAATGGGGGGCGGGGGTTTCCGGGCTGCTGCTCAGCTTTGCAAGGGTGGGAAGGTGGGTCTTTGCACTGGGGCTCACCCTGAATGCCACAGGTTGCCTTTATGATCAAAGGCTCTGGTTTGAATCCCACACCTGCCACTCAGCGGCTATGTGACCTTCAGTCTGTGACTCAACATCTCTGAACCTGTGTGTCCAATTGTGGGACAGGAATAGGACATGTCTGCTCCACAGGGCTACTGCAGGATTAGGACGGTGCATGGAGGTGGGATGGAGGGTGTGTGGTAAGTGTGATGCACGGCAGCTGTGCCTGAAATGTTCCTTATCCACACACATCCAAAGCAGCCCAAAACAGCCATCAAAGCTGAGTGCCCGTGGCTCACACCTATAATCCTACTACTCAGGAGGCTGAGATCTGAGGATCATGGTTCAAAGCCAGCCCAGGCAGGAAAGTCTCATTAACTACCAAAAAAGCTGGAAGTGGAGTTGTGGCTCAAAGGGTAGAGCACTAGCTCACAGACAGCGCTCAGCCCCTGAGTTCAAACCCTGGGATCAGCACTAACTCCTCATCTATCTCCTGGCTCGCTCCAACATCTCTCTAAAATTGGGAAGGAATGAACATTGGCCTCATTTTCCTGGACAAAGGCAGGCAGGGAATGTGAGAGGCTTTTCTAAGGCCGGGGGAAGGGAAGGCACTGGGTGGGGAGAATGTCCCCCCTCCCCTCATTGCCCAGCCAATCTAAACAACAGTGGCTTTGTTAGGGGGAAGGAGGAAATTCTTCCTAGAAACCCTTGCGAGGGACCCATTTGCTGTGGTCAGCAGAAGAAGCTGGCCATGTCCCCAGGGGCAGGGAAGGCCCTGAACCGATGTCCTCATGGGAACAGCTGTGCCCACATTGCTCCCCCCCCAAACCAGGCCCCTAAGCATCCCCAGTTGGGGAAACAGAGGTCTCCTTACGCAGGACAGAGATGAAGCTGGTCCTGTCCGCCAGGATCCATACCCCAAAGCCCAGGATCACAGCACCCAGGATCTGGAAGGAGAGAGAGGAGTTAGTGGAGGGGGTAGACAGGAAGAGGTCTAGGGGATACCCAGGGAGCTGCCTTTAGCTCAGGGGGGCCCAAGATGGTCTCTGGTCACAAATGTGAGCAACACGGGAGCAGGTATGGGAGGTCCTGGCTGCTTCTCACCCACGTGTGATCTCAGGGAGCCCACCAGGGCCCCTCCTGACAAGGGGGAGCCCTTCCTCTTTTGTCCCTTGGCCTTTCCTGTACTCTTGCCCTAGTCCCAGACCAGCTGGGGGCTCCGGCGCTTCCCTAACCTGCCCCATGCGAGGAAGACCCTGCATGTACAGTGCAGCTCGGCCTGGCCATCGGCTCTCAGCAGTGAGGCCAGCCTAAGTGTCCCCATTCTGTCTCCACCACTGCTGCCTGGCCTAGCTCAATTGTCATCCCCAAGGGGCCCAAGTCCTTCTAGGTTTGCTTCTTTATGGGACTGGAGCGCCAGAGGGCAGGGCCAGGTGCAGGCTGTGGCCTAGAAGGCTTATGGCATCAGATCTGGAGTGGTGGGGGGAATGGAGAGCTGCTCAGCTGTGCCAGTGCAGGGCTAGGAAGAGGAGTGACTGAGGTGAGAGGAAATGGCCCCAGGCCCCACCTCCCCTCTACCTGGGCCAAGTCCCTGACCTGAGCGAAGTGTCCAGGTAGAATCTAGATCAGCCACCCCATCGGACCTCGTGAGGACCCCGTCCCCATGAAGGCACAGGTTCCCTCTGAGGATGAAGTGGGCCTGTGTCTTCTTTCAATTACCTCTGTTATGGGCCGGGACTGGGCCCACCTGCTAGATGAGCCACCTGGGGGGCCCCACGTCCACTGCCAGTCCTAGGTTCCCCCTTGGCTGTTAGCCTGTAGTTGCAGGTCAAGTCCAAGGCCAGAAGCTTGTCCAGTGCATCAGCCTAGGGCCAGCAATGAGCCTAGGACCTCCAGCAGCCTCTAAAGATGGCTGGACAGAGCCCACTCCCCTCTTGGCACAGAGCCTGGCCAGTCCTCAACGCCCTGAGCGATCTCCTCACTCCCCATTCCCGGGCAGGGCAAGAGAGAGAAGAGCGCCTCTGAGCAGGGGCTGTGGGGAGGGAGGGTGGAAAACTCCCTCTGGGAAAAAGAATTCCAAGTAGAAACTCCAGACGACTCAGTGGGGTTGCCAAGAGGAACCCAGATAGGGAAGTCTCCAGAAGCCCTTCAGGCTGATGACGGCTGCCTGACCAGGAGGTGCGGCTGGCTCAGCCATGGGCCTGCCACGTAGCAGGAAGGAGGCTGGCCTGCTAAGCAGGACACCATGGAACCCCTTTCTCTGTGAACCAAGGCTGGGGCCATGGGGTGCTTATTACAGTAATCAACCCCAGCCCTGCCTAAGCCCCAGATGGCCCTGACCAGGAGCTGGACACTCATGACCTAGTTCCCTTCCTCAGAGTGTCAGAGTACCAGGGCCTCTGAATTCTTTTATGCCTAACAGAAGCATCTAAGCTAGGTGTTGGTGGCTCATGGCTATAATCCCAGCTACTTAGGAGGCTGGGATCCAGAGGATCACAGTTCAAAGCCAGTCCAAGCAGAAGTCTGTGATATTCTATCTCCCAAATAACTAGCACAAAGTTGGGATGGGGGTGTGGCTCAGAATGCCAGCCGAGCAAGCAACCTGAGCAAGCACGGAGACCTGAGTTCAAACCCCATATTGGCAAAGGTGGGGGGGGGAGTTGCGCAGCACCCTGGGTTATCATGGGGGCGTGTGGGGTCAGGAGGGAAGGTGGGCAACACTGAGCATGTGCACACGCATGCGTGAGCACACAAAGTAGCCAGGGTGAGTCTCAAAATGCAAATCTGCTCCAGGGTGCATAAAGCCATTGTCCTGAGCAGCTGCATGGCCAGTGTCCCAAAGAGGCTTTTGGCCTCTCCCCATGCTAGCCTTGGCAGCCCCGTTGCTAGAACCTTTCTTCCCAGCCACATGCCAGACTTTGTTGACCTCCCTGACAGGTCCTTGGCCTGACCCTTGCATTCTTCATCCCTTGCACACCTCACACCTCTCCCCCCACCATCTCTGCAATCCTATGATCTAGTCAAATGATCATGAAGCTGGAGCCAGAGTGGTGTAGACATACTCTGCAAGAGCAGGAAGCAGGCTCCTCTGCCTGCCTGGGGTATCTGAATGCCCAGAGGCCTGAAATACAGTTAGCCTGGGAATACACAGGGACTGGTTTCTAAGACCCTTTGATACCGAAGAGTTAAATGGCATAATACTTGCTGCTAACCCTCACGAGTACTCCCCTGTATGTCAAGCCTCCATAGATTACTTACAATCTCGACATGCAGAGCAAAACACTGCAAACAGTGATTCTACCACAGTTCTAGACACAGCAACAGGGAAATGGCTGCACGTGCTCATGGGCTCAGTGCGTGTGGGGATAGCTCCCACCTGCCGAAGGAGTGAGCACACAATCCCCTCCACCTGCTTTCTCTCCCCTACTCCTACTCCTGACAGGTCATCTGAGGCCTGGCACACAGGCAATTCACATCTGACTCCCCTTCCCTGAGCCCTTTGAGGATCTGGAGGGAAGGCCAAGTCCTGGCTAAGCCTGCCTTACCACAGTGCAGGCCAGAGAGAAGCACTTCTAGCCTCTAGTTCCTCTTGTTCCTCCGGAGCAACCCGGAGGCTGAACAGGAAGGGACATGCCAGCCAAACCATCCACAGCATTCCTGTTTTCCACTAGATCACTGCCCAGACGCCGCCTTGTCTCCAAGGCCCCAAGGGTAGCACCATTGTGCTCATCTCCCTCGGAGGCAGCTGGACGTTGGCCCAGTGCCCACAGCTAGGCCAGCCAAAGCTGGGGAACCTCACATCCCTGGAAGTCCAACATGACATCTAGAGCTGATTTCCTCTGCTCTCAGAGATAGGAATATAAATATAAAATCTGTGTATTATAAAAGGTAGAACTGGATGACCATAAGCGTTCTATTTTATAACCCGATTTCCCCCCACTCAAGATTGGGGCTCTAGCACTTGAACTGGAGCTCCACTTTCAGCTTTTTGGTGGTTGACTGGAAATAAAAGTCTCATGGATTTTCCTACCAAGGCTGACTTCGAACCCCAATCCTTAGATCTCAGTTAGGGTTGCAGATGTGAGCTACCAGCGCCCACCTTTATAACCTGATTCTTTAAGTTCAGGCTGAACAAACAACATGGAGCCGACCCGAGTCCCAGTGGTATTCTGGGCCCACAAAGCCTCAGGAAGGCCTCCCCAGGCCAATCACAACCCCAACGCAGGTGGGTGTACACACACACAGAACTTACACATGCACACATGTGCATGCTCACATACAACTCAGGTGCATATACATGTGCGCATGCATGCTCACATCTACACACACATGTGTGCACACCATCATCCTGGCAGCCCCATGTCAGCTGTGCCAGGCCAGAGGGAAACCACAGCTCCAGTTGCGCCATGAAGCTCACATCTGGAGAACCCCGGGTCAGGCAACCTAGGGCCTGAGGGGATCTGGGGAGGGGGGAGTGAGTCCCCACTGTACCTGGCCTCCCTCTCTGTGAGTTTAGGGGTGCGATGTGTGGGCAGCTGAAAACCAGCATTATAACAAGCAAGTGTTTCACATGGGCAGGGGACAAAGGAGGAGGGCAGACTAGAGAGAGGGGAGGGCTACTCATGCAGTCCTGGCAGAGGGCTCCAGGAATGGGCAAGCTAGGAAAGGGACGTGGTGCCTTTGCCGGGACCCAGCTGGGTCCATCTGTCATCGGCCTCCTGCAGCCACACCCTGCCACCATGTCCCTATGTCCCTGTCCAGAAGGGTCTCAGGCACAGATGCCCTAGGGAGCAGACTTTGTCAGAGGTAGGTGGACAACCGTGGCCATACTTACGAAGAAGAGCAAGTTGAAGAGGAAGAGGAAGTATTTGGTGACTTTGATACAAGCTGTCCCCATTCTGCCGGTTCTGGTGCTCCCTAGAGAGAGGAGAGAAGGCAGGCAGGTCAGAGGGGTGAAGTGGGGACAGGTAGAGGGAGTTAGAACAGGTAGCCAGTGCTGTGAGTCCCCAACATCGAGTTGTCTCTGTTCACTCGTGAGCTAGCAAGTGAATGCTACCATCCCCGCTTTACGGGATCTGAGGTCCAGAGAGGTTGGAAGACTGCCCAAAGCCACATAGCTGGGAAGTGAGGTCCTCAGAGCTGTTTACGGGGTTGTGGCTGGAGGGAAGTGCTACGTGTGGGGACCCTGGCCTGCACAACCCCAGGAGGCACTGGCTGAAGCCACAAGACCAGGAAGTTAGTGAGCAACTGATGGAAACCCAGAGGGGAGAATGTGGCTTGTCCCCAGCTTTGCACACGGCTCCTTGGGCCTGGGCAGAGGCTCCGGGAGCTGTTGGGGCAAAGAGACCAAGCCCTCCTCCCATCCATTATAATAGGTGTAAATATGCAATGTAAGACATCTAAGCAAGGCAGAAAACACAAACAAAACCATTTTCTCCCAAAGATAAGTTACCACGTTTTACTTTTGAGTCACTAGCTCCCTTTGTGTATGTTTGTGTAATGAGCAGTTTTAAACAAAATTGAGCTCACGCTGCAGTGAAGGCTTTTTTTGTTGTTTTATTTTGGTGCCAGTACTGGGGTTTGAACTCAGGGCCAAGGGCACTATCTCTTAGCTTATTCCTCTCAAAGCTGATGCCCCAATCCTATAACCGCAGCCCCACTTCTCGCTTTTTGCTGTTCAATCAGAGATAAGAGTCTCACGGACTTTCCTGTCTTGATCCTCAGCTCTCAGCCTCCTTAGTTGCTAGGATTCTAGCAGTGAGCCCGGCACTGGGCTGTAGCGAGGTTCTGTTAGCCTTCTGTTTTCATTCTTAAATATGCTGTTTACAGGGGCTGTGAACCCCTACACCCTGCGTGCTCAGAGCGCTTTCTTCCTTACCACTTGACACACGGCATGGGGTCCATCCAGTTGATCACCAGTTCTTGTGAACACTTTTGGGGTCACATACTCCCTTAGAAAAATCTGTATGTACGTAGCAGTTTGCAAGTAATTTCTGGGGGTTCATGAACCCTACCAAAGCCATCCTGTAACTCTAATGAACTCAGGTTAGAATTCCATGGAATTGATCAACCAGCGAAGCACCTAACTGGTACTCCAAGATGGGCCTACAGCTGTCTCCAAGTTTTCAATCGCCCTGAATGACACAAGCTGTGCTGCTGAGGTGCCACAGCTGTCCCTAGCCCCAGGCGTGTGGGGTGGGTGGCGGGGTACACTCCCTGTCCTCATGTCCTCCGGAGCCCAGACAGGCCCTGGGGTGCACAGCGAGCCAGCTCTGGGCAGCTGGGTTGGGACAGCTGGCCTGGGACAGCTGCATGGGTAAAGCTGGGCTGGGGGGGGGGGGGGTGGAGTGGAGAAAAGGTCCCTCTGCCCTGTGGAGGGGATGGAAGGGAGACCTGGGGTGCTCATACCCTTTATTCCTCTGCATTTCCCTGCCTGCACCCTTTTGAGGTGTGCTCACATTCACTCACCTCCACCCTCCCTGCCCAGGGGAGCTCAGCCCCCACCTCTGTGACTGGGGTGGGACTGGGTGGAGGGATTGAGTTCCACGTCAGTGCTGTCACAGCTGCAAAGTGCAACGTCGGCGGCGAACAGCGTGAAGTTTCCCTAAGAAAAGAAAGGCTGCCTGGGCAGTGGTGAGCCCCCATCCCCGTGGCATGGAAGCCCGGCCTGAATGAGTGAATGCCTAGAGTTCCAGGGCCACACAGGTAGACCAGATGGCTTTTCCAACCCACCAGGACTGAGACTGGGGACTGAGAACTGCAGATGGCAGGGTCTAGGAGCCAGGGATCTCCCACCCCACTAAGGAGAAAATGAGGACTCTCATGCCAGAGCCAGAGAGCCAAGATGCCCTCCTCCAGCCTGGCTGGAGGGTGGAGCTGCCTGGACACCCCAAGGACAACTCCTGACAACAGCTCTCACCCCACCCTGACCCCTGACCCCTGACCCCACCACAGCCTCTGACAATGCCACAGGCTCTTCATAAACTCCAGGACAAATCACTGAGGCAGGAAAAACGAAAACCCAGGCCAGGGGAGCTTTGCTCTCCTGCCAGGGACCAGCTTTATTGGGCCTGGCTGGGTCTCTCAGATCCCAGCAACCAAGTGTGAGTCTCGCTTCACTCAGAGAACTCCATCCGTCTCTTCAGCTGGAGCCGCAGGCCTCTGGCCTGCTACTATGGAAAAGGGAGGGGACGGCCTTGCCTTTGGGATCCCCATTGCAGGCCTATCATTGGGTTCCAGAATCTACCCTGTCGGTGTTCACGTCCTCTGGACAGATGAGCGCTCCAGGATAGGGAAAGTAAGGAGGTCCAAGAGGTAACAGCTTTAGGGAAGACTAGATTAGATATGGGAACTCCCTAGGACCAAGGAATGGCTCTTCTCAGACCTCAGCTCATTTACTCCTCCAATTAGCCCACAAGACGGACTATTTCTACCCTGGGGGACCCGAGGCTCAGTCAGGCTATAACTTGTCTACATCATAGAGCTTGTAAGTGATCTTGGGCCCAGAGCCCACACTTGACCCACTGTAAAGTGCTCCCTTCCGGGAGGAGCCTAGGCCATAAAGGTATCCGTGGGGAAGGCCAGATTCCTTCCTCTAGTTGGCAGAAGGAAGCTGCAGGCCTGGCTGCCAGCAAGCAAATACAGACAGGAAGCTGTGGGCTGTGGACAAGTGGTTAAGAGCAGAGACCACCAAGATATTGAAAAATCTGACTTGAGAACTGACCCTGAGCCTAATGGTACCTTATGTGACCACACAAAATGGGCTCACTTTGAGCCCTGTGCAAAGCAGTGCATGTACACTCACAGTCTCAATTGGAAAAGGCATGGATACTCAGGTTCCTCTCCCTCAAACCCCAGCCCCTGGCCATGAAAACCATACCTGGGGCTGCCTGCCTCTTTTCTCAAATATACTTTGGCTTGGTTTGGCTTCAGAGCTAGTCTGAATCTGATTTCTATGCTGCATGAGACAGATGAGGTAGGTGGTGAGGACCAAGGTGACTGCTCAGAGGAGCTCTGGTTTGGAAGGCAAGGAGGAAGCTAGAAAGCTCAAGACTGAGGCCCCCTCTTCATTCACCGCTTCCTACATGGAAGGCAGGTCATTCATGCTGCCCACTCACCCAATACTCCACACCCTAGGCACTGGGCCTGGCCTCCAGCATATTATACAGGCACTGGGCTAAGCTATTTTATATCCCAGAGTAAGGGAGGAACAGCTGAAGGAAAGACAGAGCCCAGGCCTCCTCACCCCATCTACTCAGTCCCATGCAAGAGGCAGAGGGTTCATACAGTGAAATAAGAGCCAGGTAGCTCTTGACTGGCAGGCAGCTCAGCCTATCAGGACAGGCCTGGTGCTAAGACCCAGACAGGGTCCACCAGCAGCTCCAAGAGAGCCGGAAGTCCAGGATACTAAGCCAGAGTGACAAGAGAGCACAGTGATAGAGCAGGGGATGGAGGACATTCTCCTCCCAGAGCAGAAGAGGCAGCTCCACTAAGGGGAAGGGTCAGCTTATCCCAGGCTGGGGCCACACCAGCAATGGAGCTAAGGCGCTGATTTCAGAGCATTCCCACCAACTACTGCAGCTGCAGGAGACCCTGAAGCTGCATTCTGGGAGCTTGGGGTTTTATTCCAGCCCCGTCCTCTCATACTGGGGTGGGGGAAGCAGAGTTCCTGTCCCAAAGATGGAAATAAGTTTTAGAGAGCAAGTACCACAGCCTGAGGACTCTGTCCAGCTCCTGCCCACTTCCTGTACAGCTTGTGAGCTAAGAACAGATTTGTGTGTGCGCGCTCATCCTGGGGGTTGAACTCAGGGCTTAGGCGCAGTCCCTGAGATGTTTTTTGCTTAAGGCTATAATGCTCTACCACTGAGCTAAAACTCCACTTCCGGCTTTTTGATAGTTAATTGGAGATAAGAGTTTCTCGGACTTTCCTGTCCAAGTTGGCTTCCAACCACAATCTTCAGATCTCAGCCTCCTGAGTAGCGAGGGGTGTGTCCACTGGCACCCAGTTCATATATATTTTTTATTCTTAACCAGTTCAAAAAAGCCAAAAGGGAGATCTTCTAACATATGAAAATGATACAAAAGCCAAATTTCTGTGTCCACACATGAAGCTGTTTTGGCACACAACCACACCCACTGACCTAATGAACAAGTCTCTTTACAATGGGACTGGCCGAGTACACAAGAGGGACAGGACAGCCCTGGGATGGGATCCTGGGAGAGCTCAGGAGAGGTATGGCAGCAGAAACTGACTGCCACCCAGAGAAGAAAGCTACGAGACCCCTGGACAATGGTCCAGGACCCGGGAAGACCTCATCTCACCGCACCGCCTGCCTGACTCCTGCCTGCCTGCCGGGAAGAGATGAGGTCAGCGCCAGGCACCCACAGGGCTCCGTGGCCGGAGCTGGCTTCCCATGGGTATCGAGTCCCATGGCACAGGTGGGGAGGTGAGAGGCAGGGGTGAGCTGTCCCCATTATCTCTCCTGTGTACTCTACTGTAATCTCCAGAGGGCTATCCATGCCTGTCAGGCAGGCTGTGCTAAAAAACAAAATGAATGGGCACCCTTGGTCCATGCTTGTTATCCTGTCTACTTAGGAGGCTGAGATCTGAGGATCTTGGTTCAAAAGCAGCCCAGGCAGGAAGGTTCAGGAGATCCCATTAACTGCCAAAAACCCAGACATGGAGCTGTGGATCAAGTGATAGAGTGCTAGCCTTGAGCACAAAAAGTCCAAGGACAGCACCCAGGCCTTGGGTTCAAGCACCAGGAACAGCACCCCTACCCCACAAACAGCAGCAGAAGCAACAAGAAAAACAACACACACACACACACACACACACACTGACAGCATAAAGGAATGCAAGCACAGCTTACAGAAGGTTCAGGAACTATCATGTTGACTATACTTTATTTCAGGTAAATGAACCATTTCTAAGTAATGACAACTTAAATTGACTGAATGTATCATTTGTCATATGCCAAGTCAGTTTGTATAATGGAACTGAGGTCCTAATATCATATGAACTTCCACTCATCTTTTTTCAGATATATCTGCTCCAGGAAATTCTCAACAGTCAGTCTTGTCACCAACACCACACCTCAGCCTCCGCCCCCGCCCCCCCCTCAAGGTGGCCCTGGATACTGAAGCACGCTAACACTACACTGCTCTCCAGCTGTGTCACCTGGATACTGAAGCACGCTAACACTACACTGCTCTCCAGCTGTGTCACCTGGACAGCGAGTGTCTCAACTTCTTAATTAATCACTAAAAATGGAAAGGTGTGTCTCAAAGCTAGGGGAAAGCACTCTGGCCCTGAATTCAAGTCCAATATAGGTGTGCTCATGCTTGTGCAAGCACAATCGCGTGCACATGCATGCACACACACACACACACAAATACATTGTACTCATATACTGAAGTGTTGAATTGAAACCCCTTTAAAGAACTACTTAATAATAATAATGCCGAATGCTGGTAGCTCACACCTATAATCCTAGCTATTCAGGAAGCTGAGATCTGAGGATTCCAGTTTGAAGCCCGTGGGGGCAGGAAAGTCTGTGAGACTCTCATTTAAATACTCAGAAAGACCAGAAGTGGTGCTGTGGCTCAAGTGGTAGAGCACTAGCCTTGAGTAAAAGAAGTTCAAGGACAGTGCCCAGGCCCTGAGTTGAGTTAATTGATCAATTAAAAATAACAATCAATAATAAAGAAGGTACCCAACAAATGGTACTGAATAAAATGCTAGATGAGGAAGACAGATGTATAGATGAATACTGAGAATGGATGGATGGATAAATGGAAGGAAAGGAGGAAGAGAGAGAAGAAGAAAGAGAGAAAGGGAGGGAAGAAGGAAGGAAGGAAGGAAACAAGGAAAGAGGGAGGGAAGGAAGTAGGGAAGAAGGAAGAAAGGAAAGAGAAGGAAGGAAGGAAGGAAGGAAGAAGGAAAAGTAAAAGGAAGGAGGGAGAAAAGGAAAGGAGGAAAGGGGGAAGGAGGAAGGAAGGAAGGAAGGAAGGAAAGAAGGAAGGAAAGAAAGAAGGAAGGAAGGTGGAAGGAAGAGAAAGAGGACGGCAGAAGGAGCCCCTGGGCACAGGCTAGGGCTGGGGAGGACCCCTGTCCGCCCTATGTCACCCCTCCTTGTGGATTTGCTGTGTCCCTCTCCTGGAAAGGGGAGGCAGGGGTAGCTCTCTGGCCTGACCCAAGCACCCACATGTTTCTGAATGGCCTGGTGGGTGGGGAGTTGGGACTGGTGGTCCCGTATAGGTGGCTGCCCTCCCCAGACCTGCTTCCTTCTCACCTGTGTCCAGAGCAGTGTTTTCCCCAGCAGCTTCTCAGAGATGAGTGTGGAGGCAGGAGGGAGGCTCTGTGGAGAACAAACGGCTCTGCTGTTACCTGGTGTGGGAGCAGCAAGGCTCCTTCCTGAGAGTCACTGTGCATCAGACCATCCCAGCCCCAGACGCCAGCGGTGTGGCCAGCAGTAAATACCGAGCCTGAGTCATTCCCAGACACGTGCGAAACACCCAATAGCTCCAACACTGTGTGCATTGCCTCTTAGGAAGCACTGAAGCAAAGGCTTTCAACTCCAACATCCCCCTGTGGGGCTCGTGGGTTCTAAGTGCTACAGGATTCAAGAGAAGGAGAGGAAATGGCTCCTTCACCCATCAACATCAAGTGCTTAGAACAAACCCCTGGGGGCCAAGCTGCCTCTTCCAACCCTCCGTTCACCAACAGCCTCCTACCTAGGCCAGCACAGAGCCTGGCTAGGCACTGGTTATACCCCCTCATCAATCCCTTAACCACATGCCAGGAGGGACTGCAGAATACAGTCCACAGCTTGTCCCTCTCAGCCTGCAACCCTCCAGTGAGAATGCAACTGATGATGTGGAAGCTATAAAATCTGTATGGCTTGCCCTGTCCCTCTTCTGTCCTTCCTTGGATCACCCCAGGCCCCTTACACGTACTCATCAATCTCTTTTCTAATGTCTCAGTACACCTGGCCCTTCTCACCCCAGGGCCTTTGTATTTTCCATTTCTCTCCCAAAATTTCTCTCCCTAGGGGCAAAGCCAATCTCAGAGTTCAAATCTCTCTATTTAGGATTCTTTTTTAAAAAAAAATCACAGCAGATGTGTAGACCGATGTTTCCACCCAGGGGCTCACAGGCCCTGGGGAACCAACCTGGATCTGCCAAAGGTCTGTCTTCCCTATTGCAATGCTTCAGTACAGTGCTCTGTCGCAACTGCATCTCAGCAGGACTGTGGGAACTCTTAGGGACTAGTCACATGGCCCCTGTGACCAGTGATCCTGATGAGTGAGTGCCTCTTGTGCTGCAGCCTGGGCCCCGGGGGTCTCTGAGCTCTCTGGGGTAGACAATAAGTGTTGCGACACCTCTGTTCCACCCCACCTTCCTCAAAGCTCACTCCCTTCAGGCTGTTTCCCCCAGAGCAATGTCGCTGGGCCTGACACCTCTGAGGTTACTGCAGGTTGAGGGTTCAGAGACAGCAAGGGATGGCATGCAGCCAGCAGGGGCTGAGCATGAAGGAGAGGGCTTCCGTCCACAGCTCTGCCCTGGAAGGGATGCTGTCCCTGCTCCCTGGGGCCTCTCCATGAAGAGGTGTAAGAGTGCTGGTCTTAGTTACACTGCCAGCCCTCGGTCCCACCCCTCGCTCTGCTGTGTATCTGCTAACTTGCCATGGGACCTTAGGAGACAGGGACTCTGCCTACCCCCGCAGGTGTGACAGTAAGCTGCCACCAAGCCAGTCCCATCCTCCCAGTGTTCCTGCATGAAGAGGCCGCATCTTGCCAGCCTGTGTGGCCTCACCTCAGGGCCTCAGTGTCCCCCACCTGTAAAATGAGCTCCAGAGAGGGTATATGAGAGGTGTCTGGCCTTCAGCAAGTACCAAATAAAAGACTGAGATGATGGGGATTGCAGAAAGTGGGAATGTCCCATCGAGAGTCAGATGACCTCTACAAGTTGGTTGAATCCTCTGAGTGCCCAGCCTGGAGCCCCAGGAGACCTTACCGCTCCTGGGAGAGGATGGGCCACCTGCAGGAGAAGGCCTCTGCCCATAGCTCAGCAGGGACCTCGAGGCCACCCTGAGATCAAAGGTCCCCCGAGTTCCCAAGTCCAGCAATCTTTCCACCTGGGAGAAACCAAAAGGAGAGCTGGCCCAGCAGCCTTGCTCTAGAAGCCACCGCCCTGAGCACTGCACTGTGGGCAGGTGGCTGGCACACACCTCCATCCCTCAGGACTTTGTCCCATCGCTCAGAGAAAGAGGCCACTGTGGTGTGTTTGTTTTCAGGTTTGACAGGTGATGTGTTTCCTGAAAGTCCTGCTGACTGGGCTGGCAGTTTCACCTCCTGCGATCTCCTTTTTCAATCTCTACTTGGACGTTTTGTTGTGGTTTAGGACAGAATGGGTTTGTCAGATGCCCGTGTAAAAGGGCAATGGCCAGGCCAGATGCCAATGGACACTTTCTCTAGCTGGCTGAGACAGAGGTGGGCACAGGGCCAGGCTGAAATACCAGGCCCAACCAGTTTAGTGTTCAGAGACAGCCTCAAAGATGACAGCATGCACCAGGCACTGGCGGCTCACTTCTACAATCCTAGCTATTCAGGAGGATCTGAGGACTGCAGTTTGATGCTAGCCTGGGCAGGGAAGTCTGGGAGACTCTTATCTCCAGTTAATCACCCCTCCCCGCTCCCCTCCGAAGTAGAGCTGTGGCTTAAGTGGTAGAGCACCAGCTTTGAGCAAAAAAGGCCCTGAGTTCAAGCTTCAGTACTGGCACCACAATGAAGGAGGAGGAAGAGGAGAAGGAGGAGGAGGGAGGATGAGGAGGAGGAAGAGAAGGAGGAAAGGAAGAAAGAAGAGGGCTGGGAAGGTGACCTAGAGGAAGAATGTTTACCTAGCATGCATGAAGCCCTGGAAAAAGAAAAAGAAAAAAGAAAAAGCCAGGAGTGGTGCTGTGACTCCAGTGGTAGCAAAAGAAGCTCAGGGACAGTGCCCAGGACCTGAGTTCAAGCCCCAGAACTGGCAAAAAAAAGAAAGAATGAAAGACAGGAGAGGGGAGGGGAGGGAAGGGGTGGGGAGAGGGGAGGGGAGAAGAGGGGAAAGGTGGGAAGGGGAGAGAAAGGGTAGGGGGAGGGGAGGGGAGAAGAGGGGAAAGGGAGGAGGGGAGGGGAGAGGAGGAGAGGGGAGGGGAGGAGAGGAGAGGAGAGGATGGGATGCTCTCCTCAGGGTGTAAGGCTCAAAAGATCAGAGGCCTTGAGGATCAGCCCTGCCAGAACCAAGAGTTCCATCCTGAGTGACAGTCCCTCAGCCCTATCACAGGCTGCCTCCAAGATGGACATAGGAAATGGATGGACAGATCATACCCAGTCCACCAGAAGCACCCAGCTTATGTGAAAATGGCAGTTGCACACCAGGAGTGTGTGTGACAGTGCCACCCCTGGACACTCCCTCTGAGGGACAAGCCAGGTTCCGGGTTCCAGTTCTTCAGTGACAAACCTGGCTCTCCTCTGCACAACTGTCCTTGCCAGCCATTGTGCTAAGCACTTTGGCTCCCTTCCTGGGAGATAAAGCACTCTCTGTGATCCCATTTTACAGCTGAAGAAACTGAGACCAGATAGGCAAAGAAATTTCCCAGAGGTTATAGAGCTGATAGGCCGAGAGGAACCCCAATAGTCTGATACACAACCCCTCTTAACTGCCTTGCCTGGAGCCTGCAGTTTACATGATAACTGAAATAATCCACCAAACTTAGTGGTGCTTTGTAGCCCAGATTGCAAACCCCACCCACCAGAAGACACTCTGGGGACAGACATGAGGGGGGGCGGGGCAGATCACAGAACCGTCCCAGGCCTGGCTGGCAAGGCAGATGGCTGGGCCACAGTTAGGGCTCCCAAGTCCCAGACTGGGTGTGTGGCTCTTTGCAGATGATAGGGAGAGGGAGGAAACTCTAATCAGGGATCCCACATGGCAGCAGGAGTCCTTTTAGCCAGTGTCCCTTTCCCAGGCACTGAGCTCAGGAAGGGAGAGAGAGGCCGGTGTAATGCCACTCCTCCATGCAGCCCTCCCAGACCACCCTCCCACACAGATCTCAGGGATCACTGCCTACCTTGGCATGAGAGCTTAGAACACACCCAGAGATGTGGGTTCAAAACCTGGCTCTGTGTGCTCCTTTGCCATGGGCAAGTGTCTTTGCTGAGCTTCAGCGCCACCTCTGGGGAGATGGCTCTGACTTCCTCTCAGGCTGCAGGTCTCTGTATTATGGCTCTCAGGGTACAGGGTAAGAGGTGGGCAGGGTAAGGGAGACACTGTGCCACCTGCACGCACAGGCACAGGGAGCCTCCACGGATCCTCAGGTGAGCGGAGCGTCTGGGCAGCAGGAGAGGACACAAGTCTGTGGCACCAAGAATGTGGCAGGCGGTCTTTCCAGGTGAAAGCGCCCAGCCACCAGCCCAGGCCAGGAAGAAAGGGCCCCCTTGCCTGTTTCTGCCCTCCTACAGTTCTGTATCTGTGGGGTCCTTGCCCTGGCTCTCATATTACCTCTCCAATATGCACAGAGTCCGTGGACAGCCAGAGTGTGGGACCCCAGGCGGTTACCCCTGGGCAGGTCGGGTACTAGGCAGCAGCAACCTGGCCCTGAGGTCTGTATACAAGGAAGGAGGACGATCAGTCCAGCCAGTTCTCTCTTTCCATTATTCACTATTTCAACCTCAGTTTACCTATCTGTGGAATGAGGATAGTCCCTAGCCCTGACCCTTGGACACCTAGCACTCAGCACCACCCCTCCTCCCAAGTGATAGAGGGTGAGCCCTTTGGGAAGCAAAGCAGGAATTGGCCCAGGGACTGGCAGTGGGGTGGAGGGTCTTGGCAATGGCCCCACCATTGCTGTGGGAGGAGTCTGAGGAGGGAGAGTCTCTGGTACAATCGAGGGAAATGTGTTGATGACTATCAGCGTGAGAAGGTTCTGGACCTAATGACATTGAGCAAGGGGAACCATGCAGACAGCCAGGCAGACAGGAGGAGAGGTGTCAGGGGTTTCCAGGAGGAGTTTGCTCCAGAGTACCAGGCCTGAGACATGCGTTGATACCCTGGTCTCAGGGCCTCACATCTGGGCAGGATCTGTCTCCGAGGAGAGGCTCTGGGTGGGAAGAGGGAGCTGGTGTTTCTTTAGGAAGAGGGACGTATCCCTGAGCTGTGCCACAAATGGACAGGCCCGGGGTCCTGGGATGAACCCCTGCCTTCCCACCCCTGCTGATGTATCTTGAGAAAGACTTCCTGTTGGCTGATCATATCAGAGACCCACAATACCAGGGGTGAGGGTCCCCCTCCCCCGGGAGCACAGATCTGGAAACTGAGT